CTCAGCCTCCTGAGTAGCTGGGATTACAGGCACGCGCCACCACGCCCAGCTAATTTTTTGTAGTTTTAGTAGAGACAAGGTTTCACCATGTTGACCAGGATGGTCTCGATCTTTTGACCTCGTGATCCACCCGCCTCGGCCTCCCTAAGTGCTGGGATTACAGGCGTGGGCCACCGCGCCCAGCCACCTTTCTTTTTAATGTGGTGTCTTCTGACTCACCGAAGGTTATTACTCTTCTTTTAAACTTTCTGCTTTTTCAGGTTTGCTTTAAAAGCAAGCCTAACCTAACCCTACACCGTAAACCCTAACCCCCAACTCGCAGTTATTTGCCCATTTTTCTTCTATCAGTTCTAAAGTATTTTTCTCACATTTGAGCCAGAATTATCTTTTGTATCTAGTGTGAACTAGATACCCAAGTTTACTTATACCACGTAAATAGCCAGTTGGCTTGGCAATGCTTACTGAGAGGTCTACACATTCCCCTACTGGTTTTAAGTGACAGTTGAGTTATAAATTGAGTTTTCACATGCACATGGTCTATTTCTGGGCTCTCTATTCTTTTTCTTTTTCACTTTTTTTTCTTTTTTTGAGACAAAGTCTCACTCTGCCACCCAGGCTGGAGTGCCATGACGCAATCTCAGCTCACTGCAACGTCTGCCTCCTGGGTACAAGCGATTCTCATGTCTCAGCCTTCCGAGTAGGCAAGATAACAGTCATGAGCCACCATGCCCGGTTAATTTTTGTATTTTTAGTAGAAACAGTGTTTCACCATGTTGGTCAGGCTGGACTCGATCTCCTGACCTCAGGTGATCCACCTGCCTCAGCCTCCCAAAGTGCTGGGATGATAGGCATGAGCCACCGTGCGGGGCCCGGGCTGTCTATTCTGTTCCATCGGTGTACTTGCCTCATTTGATAGCAGAACTACACTGTCTTCATTCCAGGAGCATGGCGGTCTCAGGGTAACTGGGATGTTTCCTTGATGCCTTCATGGGAAAATGAGTATCTGTGAGTCTATTTGTGGGTCTACTTCTGGGTTCTCTACTCCACTGATCTATACGTCTGTTTTTACTCCAAAAGGGTGCTATCTTGATTACTGCGGCCTTATAATAAGCCTTGGATATCAAGTAGCTTAAGTTCTCCCACTTTGTTCTTGTTTTTGAATGTTGTTTTGGATATGTTAAGTCCTTTGCATTTTGCATATGATTTTTAGAATCAGCTTATCAGTTGTCTGAGATTCTGTTTGGGACTGCAGTGAAGGTAGAGATCCATTTCCGGAAAATTGACATCATCACAATATTGAGTCCGCTGACCCATGAGTGAGGTATATTTCTCCAGTTTAAAAAGTATTGTTTTGCTTTAGCAGTATTTTGTCATTTTTTGTTTCTGGTCTGCTTCAGCCTCTTGAGTAGCTGGGACTATAGGAACATGCCGCCATACTTGGTTAATTTTTTTAAAAATTTGTCATACAGATGGGGTCTCCCTGTGTTGCCCAGGCTGCTCTTGGACTCCTGAGCCAAAGCAATCCTCCCACCTTGGCCTCTCAAAGTGTTGGAATTACAGGCATGAGCCACCGCCCTTAGCCTTCCAATATACATCTTTCAGTGATCACAGTCTACTTTCAAATTGGATAACACCAGTTCATTTTTAATGAATGAACCTTTTAAGAGTGCTATTCCATTCCTCTCTCTTGACCTTTGTGCTACTTTTGGATTACATTTTCCTACTTACCAATTTTGTGTAGAGCAGTCAGTCATCTTTTACAGTGATTTTAAAGTGATTAAAAATGTTTAGTAAGACCTTCTGAGTTTGTGGAGGAAAACCAAAAGGATAAAAATAATCTTTTACGTGTATTTACACGATTACCTTTGTTAAAGTGATCCAGGTTTTCTTTTTCTTTTTTATTTTAATTTATTTTTCTTTATTTTTATTTTTATATATTTTTAAAGTGATCCAGATTTTCATCTGGCATTATTTTTATTCTGCCTGGAGAAGTTCCATTAATATTTATTTTAGTGCAAGTCTGCTGGCATTGAATTCTCATGGGTTTTATGTGTCTAAAACATCTTGAACTTCCTGAAAGATACTGTCATAGGCTATGGAATGCCAGGTTGACAGTTTCTCCCTCCTTTCCTACCCCCTAGTATTGTTCTCTGACTTGCCTAATTTCCCTCCCTCCCTTCCTCCTTCCCTCCCTTCCTTCTTCCCTCCTTCTGTTCTTCCTTCCTTCCTTCCTTCTGTCCATCCATCCATCCGTCCATCCATCTCACTCTGTCTCCCAGCTTAAGTGCAGTGGCACAACCACAGCTCACTGTAGCCCCAACCTCCCAGGCTCAAGCCATCCTCCTGCCTCAGCCTCCCAAGTAGCTGGGACTACAGATATGTACCACCACACCCAGCTAATATTTAAAAATTTTTTTTATAGAAATGAGGTCTCACTTCATTGCCCAGGCTGTCTCAAACTCCTGGGCTCAAGCAGTCCTCCAGTCACAGCCTCCCAAAGTGCTGGGATTATAGGCATGAGCCACTGCACCTGGCAGGCTTGCACAATTTCTAAAAAGAAATATGCGGTCATGGCCTGTGTATGGTGGCTCACGCCTGTAATCCCAGCACTTTGGGAGGCCGAGGCGAGCAGATCACTTGAGGTCAGGAGTTTGAGACCAGCCTGATCAACATGGTGAAACCCTGTCTCTACTAAAAATACAAAAATTAGCCGGGTGTGGCGGCGTGTGCCTGCAATCCAGATACTCGGGAAGCTGAGGCAGGAGAATCACTTGAACCTGGAAGGCAGAGGTTGCAGTTAGCCAGACTGCACCATTACACTCCAGCCTGGGCAACAGAGCAAGACTCTGTCTTCAAAAAAAAAAAAAAAAGAGAGAGAAAGAAATGTGTTGTAATTACCTTTGTATCTATGTTTCTCTTCTGTGGCTGCTCTTTAAGATAATCTTTTTATCAAACGTTTTTAGCAATTTGATGGACAAGCCTTGGTGTGGTTTTCATTGTTTATTCTGCTTGAGTTTCCTTGAGCTTCTTGGAGCTACAACTTTGTAATTTTCAAATTTGGAAATATCCAACCACTATTTTTTCAAATGTTTTCCTCTTCCCTCCTCTCCTTCTGGGACTCCAACTACACCTATGTTAGATTGATTTATAGGGTACCACGGTATACTCATCATCTGTGCATTTATTTTGTCATGTTTCTTCCATGGTTAATTTTCTTTCTTTCTTTCTTTTTTTTTTTGTTTTGAAGACAGAGTCTCATTCTGTCACCCAGGCCAGAGTGCAATGGCCCCATCTTGGCTCACTGCAACCTCTGCCTCCTGGGTTCAAGCGATTATCCTGCCACAGCCTCCTGAGTAGCTGGGACCACAGGCGTGTGCCACCACACCCAGCTAATTTTTGTATTTTTAGTAGAGACAGGGTTTCACCATGTTGACCAGGTTGGTCTCCAACTATTGACTTCCAGTGATCTGCCCGCCTCAGCCTGCCAAAGTGCTGGGATTACAGGTGTGAGCCACCGTGCCTGGCCAATATGCTTAATTTTGTATATTTTCTTTTTCTATGTTTAAGTTCACTGATCTTTTCTTCTGGGTGTCTTCTTCCTTCCATCTGTCCATCTCACTCTGTCTCCCTGGGAGGATGAGGTATCTGCTATTAATCCTGTCTGGTGTCTTTTTAAAATTTTTCAGATCTTATATTTTACATCTCTACAAGTTCCATTTGGGTCTTTTAAAAATCTTTATTATCTGTTCTTATCATGTTCATGTTTTTGTTTACATTATTGAGCACATTTGTATTTAATAGCTGTTTAAGGTCCTTGTCTACTGACTCCACTGTTTGTTATTTCTTGTCTGTTTCTTATGTTTGACGGTCTCCCTGGACCTGTTACAGGTCATGTCTTCCAGCTTTTTGGTATGTCTGGTGAGTTTTGATTAGATGTTACACACTGTGGGTTTTACATTGTTGGGTCCTGGATTTTGCTGTATTCCTTTAAAGTATGTTAGACTTTGCTATAGCAAGCAAGCCAATAAGTTATTTGGGATCAGCTTGATGTTTGCTCTGGAGATGCTTATGTTGTGTATTTATTCATTAAGAGATGATGTGTCATTGTTTCTGTTAGGCATCATGAAGTGCTACTTGCCCAGGATCACTTTGAGTTATTTTTCCAGCTTATTTTCTATAAATTTGAAGTGTATTTATGTTACCTGCACTCCGGTTTATCAAAGTAACATAAATACACTTCAAATTTGCATAAATACAAGGCTTTGATTTAAAAAAAAAAATTTAAGGGCAGACTTTTTCCCCCATCCAGAGCCAAGACAAAATCAGAAAGTTCTGCTTTTCTCCTTTGCCATTTGGAAAATATATATTTGGAGTCTACCTTTTCACAGAGGCTCTAGAAATTAGGGTTTCTTGGCTTTATGTAAGGGACTCAGTTCTAACTCTCAAATTTAACGCATTTCAGTGCCTTATCTCCTGACACTCTGGGTTACCCTTGAAACCTGACGTTTTATTTTCCTGATATAGGTAATGGTTGTTGGGGTAAGCATTTTGTCAGCACATGATCATCAATGGAATTTTCATTTCCTTTTTTTTTTTCCTTCTAGGTGTCTTCTTTATTTTACTGTGAGCAGATATTTAGTCTGCTGTATTTTGTGCTCTTGCTTTTATTATCAGCAAATTCTAAAACTTTTATCTCACTGGACTTAACTGTTATCATTTATTTCTTTGAATTTTTTTCCACCAGGCAAATATAAGCCCTTTTATAACATCACAATATCTCAGTCACTGTCTGTACGTGTTCACCTGTGCTTCTCCACCTCCAGTGCACACCGTAAGGCTTCCTGGAAGAGAAAGCCGAATTGGAGAACCTATGGCAACTGACATCTACCAGATAATTGATGAAATTACTTGTGCTATGCTGCCAGTCATCCAGGGTAAACCATTTGCATTTTTTGGCCACAGGTATTTGAAATCTGTTTTAAAATTCTTTGGGGGAGTTTCTTCTATCCCAAGTCTGTGGTTAATGTTGCTCACAGTGTCTCGTAGTGGTGAGACAGCATGTTGGGTCATTGTGACCTATCACAACTTTTACAGTTCACCAGTTTGTATGGTAAGTATACCTATTATCTTTCCTTTTAGGCAAAAAAAAAAAAAAAAAAAAAGTGAACACTTGTAAAACTAAGACTTTAACAGCAGCTTACATTCATTTTTGAATTAAGAAATGCTGCAAAGAATATTTGTTTCTTAAGCTAGGTTGTATAATTCTAAGGTTAGGTCATAGACCCTTGGGTTCTGGCTATCTCTTATCAGTTGTAGGACCCTGGGAACGTTTCTTAGGCTTCTGAGTTAGTTTCTTTTTCTATAAGGCGGCAATAACAATAGTTCCCACTTGTGAGGCTTAAATGAAGTCATCGTAAATAAACTGTGGTATAGTAAGGACTCAATAAATGTTGGCTATTATATAAGATTTATAAATATGGTCAAGCAGAAATTACAAAATAAAAAGTACTCATCATCCTACTACCTAGATAGTAATGCTTTACAATTCTGATGTGGTTTCTTAGTATTTTTACATAGTGGGGTCTGGTTTTATATATTTACTTAGCCTTTTCACTTAAAAGCAATGTATACTTACAGGATGTGAAAGATATTTATTGGTATAATATTTCTATTATAGCAATTAATATTAAATTAAATGTATTTATCATATTATTGCTATAAATATCTTTCACATCCTGTAAGCATATGTCGCTTCATGATTTGTTTAACCTCTTTCTGTGGATATGAGTTATTTCTTTTTCTATTACAAACAACAGTCCAGTGAACTTTTTTTTTTTTTTTTTTTT